ATTCAGGTGAGTTCAGGATTGCTGGTTGAATTATTCTAAAATGAGGGACGCAAGGGAATTTCACTTAATCGAGCCTGTAAATAGAAAGACTGGGTTTCGAAAAATCCTTTAATAGATTTCATGTTGGAGCGATACTCGCCAAAACGCCTTTCTCGTTTTCGTGTTTTGATCAATTATTGTAAGACATGTTGTTCGGTGCGCAGAGGATCTATTCGCACAAAGCTTTAGTTTCAGATCCAAGAAAATTCCCCCACAGCTTCCGGTGAGGCCGAATTACGAATCCCTTCCACTCGCTTCTTCAAACGAAATGAAAGCTGCTCCAACATCATGCTTGACTTAATGTTGGCATTGGGCTTTTGCAAAAATGACTTCCAACTGGGGGTATGTCCGTCGTATGACGGACGAAAGTTAAATTAGTGTCAAACAGTCGCAGACTACTGGGCTTTGTCGTCTTCTTCCGATGAGCTCGATCATTAGATCTCTTTGTCATTGTACGAAACGAAATTCTTTACAACAACGTTATTCAGGAGGTGCATCGAAACCCAGCTTTACCCTTTCAACAGTCCGATGCTTGAAATCATCATGACTACTCTGGCAGATGATCCAAGACTAGTTAAGTTTCACCAACTAAGTTAAGTAAGTGAGGGGAAACCAAAATGATTTCTGAGTTTTCCCACGATCAAGAGAGCAGTTGTGCCGAGGCGAACCTCGGTCAGCTCAGTCCTGTATTGTGAGTCTAAAGAGATAGATCGCTCACCCGTAGAGGCCATCTTCTTGCTTTTGCTCGTCTTCCCGGCCGAGAGGCCTTGTCCACTGAGTCCGCCGCTACTACTGCCCGTACTCGTCCGGCCCGGCAGACCAAGTCCACAGCCCGACAGGCCTGGGCTGCCCGGGTAACCGGGATCGGTTGAGTAGCCCGGACCAGGTCCTGAGCTCGAGCCCGAGCCGCCGCCAGTGGCTGTGGCCTGAGCAACCGCAGCCTGAGCAACCACGGCGGCTGCCGCCATCGCGGCGGCCGAGTGATAGGCAGCGGAGACGGCGGCAGCCGCCGCATTCGCAGACAAGACGGCCTCGTTCATGGCCGAACCGTGCGGCAGTGGAGAGGCGAGTGGTACCGGCGAGGTCGACCCAGCGGGCTGCGATAATCCGCTTCTCAACGGCTTCGAGGCCGCCAGCCCCGGCGACAAACGGCCGTCGGGTCTGGCGCAAGATGCCTCCAGACCCGGCTCCTCTTTGCTTGACAACATCAGCCCGACAGGCGGAGGCTGAGCGAGATGAAGCCCGGCCTGTTGATGTTCTGTCTGGCCATACGAAGAGTGGACTGAGCAGCGCGCATACATGAGCTGGTTTTGCTGTTGTTGTTGTTGTTGTTGTTGTTGATGGTGATGATGATGATGGTGATGCTGGTGGTGGGGATGCTGCGAGTTCTGGGTCTGCATAGTGGCCAGATGGTGCTGTGCTATCTGGCACAACTCCGAGTCTGAGCAGTCCGACTCTTTTGCGTTGGCCTGTTGGTGGTTACGCGGTTGCTGCTGGTGCTGAAGTTGGAGCTGGTGCTGGAGTTGATGCTGATGCTGGGGGGCGTAGTTTTGTTGGGTGGACGGGTGGCGGGCGGAGGCCTGCGACTGGAGGTGAGAGGCAAGATCGGAAATCTGGTGACCATGGCTGCCTTTGTTAGTCGTTGCTATGTCGGCCAGTTGACGCATCGGCAGACCTGGTGCCGTCACTGGCGCTATCCTCTGGCAGGACAACATGTCGGCAGAGCCCACGGACAGACTGGACGACTGAGAGGAGATGCCAATCGACGGTGAAGGGTTCTGTCCAGAGGTGGATCTGGGATGTTGATCCCGCTGGGGAAGTCGCTGAACAGCCGTTTGGTCGTAGTGACCGTCATATTGGCGCACCTCCTCGGCCAGGCCTAAAACGAGAAGAATGCCACAGGTTCGGTGAGGAAAACGTCAAAACAACCAAAAGCCGCGGGATTGCCAAACTCACTTTTACCATTTAAGACAGTTGTCAACACTTTCCTTCTACATTGGGACATATGAAGGTCAAGAGAAAACTACTTTTACATTGTAAGCGGGATTTTGTCGGTGTGTACTGGTGAATAAGATTTTGACTTGCATTTTCCCAAAAGTGGTATGAATAGTCCATCTGTTTCCAGTGCAACTCTCTTGGCTTTATAGAAGTGGATTGACCTCGTTATCGCAACTTGGTCTTGTTGTCAGGGAGACTATGTAGAACGCACCTAGTCT